CCATAACTTTTAAATAACTGTAAAAGTTATACAATTAGGGCACCTATATGTTGATATTAAGATACTAGAACAAACCAGTTATATGAATTTAGTATTTAACAATCAATACACAAGCACATGCGATTCACTACATGTTGTACTGTCGCGAAGTATTCGTTGGCTTGGCATTACTAGTCATGAAACGAACCTACAACTTAAAGACAGTTTGAAATGACGAGTTTTCAAACACAAACTAGTCACGTCGTCATACATAGTGTTGGAACATCCTTTTTTTTTATTTTGATTGGAAAAGTTCATAACAAACATAATAGTCATATCAGCTAAGTCAGGCTATTTTGCACAAATGGCAGTGAGGTAACTTGTTTTCGTATAATTAATGTAACCCTGGAAGTATAAAAAAGCATTATAGATCCTTTTTCGATATCAAGTGTTGATCAGTGAGTTATAAACGCATATCAATTTCATAAATTGCGTATAATTCTTAATTCATAAATGCTATCATAAATGCGTATTACGTATACTTCACGTTGATCTTTCTTATTTAACGCCAAACAATGAATATGTTTTATATAATTTGTAACATAAAACACGTGAACACAGACTTCCTTCTTTTTTGTTGAAAAAATTGTCAAGATGCGGCAAACAATTGATTTACTTGAACAAAAATTAAATCACAAAAATACTGAACTAATAGGAAAATTCAAAAACAAATGTGTGGGATTATATATTGAAAGTTCATTGGTTTGCAATGTTATCACTCAAGGTAAAAAATAAACACGAATCGCATAGAAATGAAAAATAGCGTTTCTCAATTTTTTGGTAAATATCTCTTGAAATGACCTTTTCAAATAATGGAAAAAAAAAAAATAGAAAAATTAAAAACAAATTGTTCAGAGAAGGTCTTTCCATCCAAAAAGATCAATTTTGATATAGAACTATTAAAATATCATATCCAGCGTCAAATGATAGCTTATTGTACACTGATTCCAAAAATATATGGTTTCTATACATTTTTTTCTAAATAAGGGAGATACATTGTTACTTCCGGTTTGAAAAATGTCACTTCCGGTTTTTTTATAGTTTACTTGATACTGATTTCAAAAATATATGGTTCAATATACTTTTACATTTAATAAGTACAAAAAATAGCTACTTCCGGTTTACACATGGTCACTTCCGGTTGATTTTTTCATGGTCAAGTGGCTTGCAACGTAATGCAAAAAGCCTCATGGCTTTATCATGTATACATATGAGGTAAAAGCAAAGCTCAATATCTAGAACGTCAAATTTACCAACGACCTTGAGCTCAATTTCAAGGTCATAAACCAAGGGCTTCAAATCAAGAGACCCTAGGTCTTAATTATACATAGTTAATGAGTTATATCACTATATGCCTACATTTTAATATAAGACGGGAGAAAACTCCAATTTAATGTTAGTGTACCCTTTCAACCAAAATTTATGTGTTACGAAATGTCGCAACTTACAATTTAGTAAAAATATGTTGTCAATATCTTATACTGTTTTTGAAAAGAATTGAAAATAAGCCAAAATCAAAATTTAAAAAATGACCCTGACCTCTGACCTTGACCTTATTTTCTTTTCTTTTTTTTTGGACCAAGGACCTCAAATAAAAAGATCCTAGGTCTCTATCACTTATGGTTTACAAGATAGAAATGCATATCACTTATATCAAATAAATAAGGGGAAATAACTCTCATATGGAGTGTTCGTATGGCTTCGGTCAAAATTGAACAAATCATGCGAAGGATATAACGAGCAATTTTATAAAATAAATTTGTCGCTTTCTTATACTGGTACGGAGGAGATGTAGTCACAAGGAAAACAGAGTTCGGGGAAATAACTCCTACAAAGAAAAGTATTCGGTTACGCAGGGTGAATTTCAAAGGTGCATAAACTGTTCGATATCATATACCAAACATCTAAGCGATATCTTGCGAAACAAAATTAATACACAAGAAATAAAAGTGGCGGAAGAAAAAGAAAAAAATAATAATCAGAACAAATACAAAAGGTCTTTCCATCGAAAAGTGGAAAGACCTAATAACATTATCCTTTCACCTCAGAAAAGATGTTTCATGATGAAATTGACCTTTGTGTTGCAACTTGTAGTGTTTTATGAAATTATATTTTACAGATCCTCCCAATGTTCACATTTCACAGTCTTCATATGATGTAATAAATGGACAGTCTGTGACTTTGGTTTGTATAGTGACATCTAAACTACCTCTCACAGGCGTCAAATGGAAGAAAAGCGATGGCGGTTCTGTATCGACGATTGATCTAGACGACAGTTCCAGTTTATATAGTGGTGGGAATGTTGGATCACCATCTTTGATTATCTTAAACGTAACACAGAATGATACAGGAACATACATTTGTTCTGCTTCCAATAAAGTTGACACAAGAAGTAGCAACACCATTACACTTGTTATACACAGTGAGTAAAATTTTCTGTCTAAATTTGAATATACGATATTTGGGGTTGAATTTAACAGGTCATTCGTTCGATTGAGAATATAGATATAAGAAAACATAAAACAACCCCCAAAAGAACTGTTAATACAACAATCTCAATTCGATTTCTGTTATCTTATATAAGTGTTCAAAGAACTGAATTGATTTATAACACAAAACTTCGAGAGTGAACACTTTGAATACATTATCCTACCTAAAGTTACCGAATTCTAGAACGGTAAATTTAATGTTATATCAATGCAGTCGCTAGGTGGTTGAAATCAACGAGTCAGTCGTTCAATTGCAATTAGGGAGCATTTAATAATCGCTCAAAAAGCTAGTTTTCCTACAATCTCAATTCGATTTCCATGATATTTCAAAACGTATTCAAAGAATTGACGTTTTTATACCTGAAAGTATCGATAATTAAAGCGATAAAAGTGCTGTATCTTTTTATTGTAGTACCTAGGGCATATATCCGTTGTCTTGTCTTGCCATCATTTGAATGTTCTTCTAATGACAATGGCGTTGATTTGTATTGACGTTGATGTCCTAATGAATAATAAAAGATGTCTACCCTGTTGAATCAAATGGTCTCCTTCTTTGTGTGATGTTTATTGCTGTATACCATAACGTGCACTACAAATATCAGATGCTTTTCTACCGGCAATATCACAATCTGCCTGTTTTTTTGTCTGGGGAATGCCACGTGCGTGCAGTCTATTTAATGATACAGGAATAGTCGTCTGATCTGTAATGTCACCGATTGTTTTACTTTCTTGATTGTAAACTTGTTTTCTGATCTACCATAAGGAGATGTGGCATACTTTTCATTGATAAAACTATCCAGTAGAGCCCAAGTTACATGGATTAAAGCAACTACAAACCATTATAAGGTGTTCAACAATGAGCAAAACACATATCGTCTAGTACGTTTACGAAACTCAGTCATGCCTTGATATGAAACAATAAAAAAAAACGAACGAACGAACTAAATCGGATTTAATGGTAAATTAAAAAAAGATATAACAGAAAGCTTGACTTGTATATTTCATGCAAGAGATGCACTATGTTTTGCTTTATGTGGATGTCAGTAGCAATCATTTAAATCGAAAACGTTCAAAACAAGCATCGTGACCATTACAAATAAGTCAGGCTATTTTGTATAACTAGAAGTAAAGTTACTTCTTTTTTGTGTGCCTAAGGTATCTTCCGGAGTATAAATGTTTCATAGATCTTTTTTCGAAAGTATGTCTTGATCATTGAGTTCTTACCGCATTGTTAATTTCATAAATGCATTCATAAATTGTGTACATTGGAGTGCATAACATTTTCATAAAGGACGTATATTTCACGTAAAATTCAGAAATCTTTCTAAATTACCCCCTCCCTTTTTTCTCTTTTTTTCCCTCAAAAACAAAACAAAACAAAATGCATATGTCTTTTTATAAAAAAAAAATGGTTAATTCGTACTCTAATTCGCAGACAGCTGTTCAGTGACTCATTTTGCTTAGGTTCTTCTGTTGCCTTTTTGACTTCTTTTGAATTGTTTGGAGTTATACTATGCGTATTGCTGTTTGTTTGTTTTTTTTACATTGTTTAGAGGTATAAGGGGAGGGTTGAGATTTACAAAACATGTTTAGAGCCTCTAACATTTGTTAGTTTTATTTGTTTGTTTTTATTTTGGTTAATTTCTATGTTTCGGAGTTTAGTGTGATGTCCATTTTTGCTGAACTAGTACACATATTTCTTTAAGGGCCAGCTGAATCCCGCCTCCGAGTGCGGGATTTTTTCGCTGTGTGGAAGACCCATTGTTGGCATAGGGCTGTGTTTAGCTCTTTGGTTTGGTTGATGTCTCTTTGACACATTCCCTGTTTCCATTTTCAATTTTACTTATAAGTGATACATCACTTAAGTGAAAAGGACGAAACCGTAATCCAAGAAAATAATTGGAAAAAAGTTATTATTAATCGATTCTGACCGAAAAAAGCATTTAAACATTAAATTTAAATAACAATTGTCATGACTAAGTTGCATTATATAAAATGGAAAAGCATGAACAATACAACAAACTACAACAAATACATATAGATTTGTCTTCTAACTGCGGCTCAACTAATTTTTTGGGGTGTTTATTTAGTAAGGTTACGGCGAGAAAATTTCGGCGCCAAACCCGGAAGGTTTATTATCTTCTATTGCTTTTGATCAACACTAAATGAATGGATTTCTTTTTGTCACTTGTACGTTATGGATTAGAAATGAATGTATTCAAAATGGGAAAACATATATGAGTAAAAACATGCATTGACTCAATAATTTCCTCATTATCAATTATAAGAGAGACATACAATACCAAGAGGATATTAAAAACTGTACTAAAATGTCGAAAGCAAACTGACAATGCCCTGGCAAAAATTCAAAACGATCAAAAGACAAACAGTATTACGAAACACAACACAGTAAACTAAAGACTGAGCAACATAAATAATATTATTTGAAATATTGTGTGTAATCAATTTTAGGTGTCCCTATTGTTTATGTTCACCAACTGTTATATAATGCCACCTTTGGCAGTACTGTGACTTTAAACTGTTCAGTGAGCACAACGACCTCTTCTACAATAACCGAAGTTTACTGGCAGAAATGGGATGAGTGTCAGATAAAATACATCTCGTCTACAACAACATCTTCGTCTGCTAAGTACAGTGGGAGTACCGTGAATACACCGTCCCTAACAGTATTCAACGCTGAAGGACTTGATGTAGCATCTTATACATGCTTTGCATCAAATATTGCTGGAACCGGTTATAGTACAGCTTCATTTCTAAATGTATCAGCAGGTAAAATTTATTTATAGCAGTTATTGACATTTTGTATATAATTTACTTGTTAAAGGACATCTATGTAACATACATATATAACAAAAGACATCTATGTAACATACATACATAACAAAAGACACCCATCATTGCTATTGACGATATTTGTTTGGTTTAGAGATACATAAGCATAATTTTCCCATGCCTGGGATGTGTTTTAATTGATTTTAGTCTCTAATGCATGATTTTTTGTAATTAATTGTTTTTGGCTTTTTACTAGCTTTCAGTAACTGCAAGTACTCTCAAATAGTACTTTCGTGCTAATTTGACCGGTTGACACCATTTGTAATGCATTTCTGTTATTCAATGTTTACTTATTTTATGTTTTATCTCGTGTTACTGCTTTTAATGTGTACCACCTTCGATAACTATTTAGTATGACGATAAATTTTCACTTCTGTACTCGTATTTTGAACAACAGAGTTTTTTTTGTAAAAAAATGTTTCTGTAATCCTTACAAATGATCATATTTAAATTTACCTGTGTACGTTACTTTATTTAACGCAATTTTGTCCCAGGTTAAAGTTGTCTTTTTGACATTGATACATCTTTTTTATTTATATTGTATTTATATTGTGTTATAGATCAAACGTATTCGTTAAGTGTATATAGTTGTTTTTGAAAACGATTGAAACATGTGAAATGAACACATTGTAAGTTTTGCGGTCACAAGCACACAATGGATGAACGATACGAAGTGCATGTGTCTCAAGTAGCTACCGACCAGTTTGCGTAATCTTAAATCTTCAGAAAAAAGAATTGTCGTCTGATTTGTTTATGAACCGATTGTGTCATATTTCCGATCATGAAATTGTGAATGAGTGAAGATTTGCATGGCGGGTGATGAATACATAGCAGAAGACGAAAAACCTAATCGCAATCGGCGCTGCGAGTCTCGTTCCTTTTGGGATCAACGTGATTCCCTCATTTGTTTTTTTTTACTTTGATTCGTATGTTTTAGTATATCTACGAAATTTAAACATCGTCAACAATACTGTTGTCCTTGATATTTCGCACAATAATGCCTTTACATAAAACATCTTTGAAATCATCAGACTACAGAATGACAAGACTATAATCCCGATTTACTTTAATGAGTTTCTGATCCCTTTGGAATATTACTATTAAGATATTTAAAGCAACTTTTGAAAAAAGAAAATATTACTTAGGTAAATCGATAAAGAAAGAAACAATTTAAATTCAAGGTTGCTGATCCCATATACTTTAATGATATGAACCTAATGGAGAACCAATACGTATGTTAAGCAATATGTTCAAGGTATAAAATCATAAACTAGCCATATTTACATGTTTGTAGTTTGTAGTAGCATGTACATGTTAAAGGCTATCCTCCTTAACATTTTTTATTTAAATATTGCTTTCAAGAATATTTTTCTTGTAAGATATTCCAGAGTATTATTAAAAAAAATCAGAAATGATCCTGTCATCCCCTTTGAATTTATTTGTTTTTAAATTTGTTAAATTTTCTTTATGTCTCAGTGGTAATATCACCATGATTAATTTTTGTCGTCGTCAGTTAGTTTATTTTCTACGTGGCTTGTCAAATCTTTAGCACTTTCCAAATGCAATCCCTCGGATCTAAATAAATTTTGAAAACATTGAACTTGTTCATTAGTATTTCGTCTATATTGTATTCATGATGGCCATTTTCTGTTTGGTTTTGTTTTCGACTCCATAATTAGTTTTTTGCGTTTTGCTTTACGAGATTGAAAAAAAGTAGCTTGAAGTTTTGCCCTTTCTTCCGTCCATTTGACACGCGTTCTTATTTGTGACGCTTCTGAGTTGATCTCATAGTTGTGTTTAACTAGTGGTTCTATATCTAAAATCTTATTTTCAACGTCCCCGACGTGATGCTATTTAATTTGAGTGTCCGTAATTTTTGTTCAAGTTAACGCTAGAAACATACAGTGTACAGTTGAAATCCCCCATCAAAATATTGTTATGGTCTACACTATCATCGGTAACATTACCAAAACAATTCTGAAAGGATTCAAAAAGCCGTTTCTCTCGCTACCATTATTGTTGGCATATAATTTTGATATATGCACTTTCAGTGTTATTGCTACATTTTATTTTTCTACCGTTTTGCGAGTAAGGATTATCAAACACAACATCACCGGGACAAATTTTTATTTTTTTAAATAGCTTCACCTATCTTCGCCATATTTTGCCACTTTGATATATCATTAACTGTACAATGTGTTTCTTGTAGACAAATTAAATCATATTTTTGTTAACTGAAAAATTGAAAACTAACTTACGTTTCTTTTCATAACGTTAGCCGTTTGCATTTTAAGTTAGTATTTGGATCGACATCCTTTTTTTAGTAAATATTCTAACGTTTACGATTTGATTTGCATTTTAACACCGCTATGCATCGTTAATTTAATTATAAACAATCACAATCAACGCTATCATTGGTATGTTTTACTTTCAGTTTAACGAGTCATTGGTCCATTCTGACAATCATTATACACTATTAGTGAGCACATTTCAAATCATCTATTTAAAAAAATAACAATACAAATATAATAATCCGTATTGAAGAAATGTAGGCTTCTAACTTTTCAAAAACTGCATTTTAGAAAAATAAAACATATGTACAATTGTCATTTTTGATTTTTATTTATAGTTTTCCATACAAAGTAACACCTACGATAGTAATTATCGTCTTTGTATAAGAGTATCATATTGGTTACTTTTCATGTAAAAGAATAAAAAAAAATCTGATTCATCTGGGAAACATTGCTTGCTTTGTTAACTATCTTTCTCTGTAGATATTGGCGTCAGCGATATGTCACTACATTTAGGCTTGGTGTACCCAGGACGAGGAGTTTGCTGGATTTGTGACAACTTAGCTTGACGAAATTCACGTAGATCGACTCGACATATTTTAGCCCTTACAGTTGTTATATGAACTCCATTTATATCTGATTTTTTTTTTTTTTTTTTCATAAAGCGCCTTAATCACGGTACCATTTTTTTGTGAAAATGCATTCTACATCACAAGTCGGTCAGCCCTTCATCTTTGAGAAGTATATAATCACATTTGTAGCTGTTTCATTCACTGTGTGACTATGGTTACTGTTCACTAGTAATGCCACAAAGTCCTATATCCGCATTCGAAAATGTGTGTTGTACTTTAACTATGGCCTGTGTTTCAAAAACATTCACCTGATCACAATATTTTACTCTTAATTCACGTTGAATACTGGTTATCCATTTACTAATACATGATTTTTTTGCTTTATTGCAGCGGCTTTTCCGAGAGATTGTAATGATCTTGGTCTTCTATCGGGATCAGGGGTATACAGAATATATCCAACAACATCAGTTGAGTTCGATGTGTATTGTGACAAAGATATAATGTGTGGAAGATGGACCGTGAGTGATATGAAAGAATACTTGATCCGATTTATATACCAGGATGTTCGCTACTATTGTTTTTGACTTTTTGTCAAACATCCAGAATCCTCTAGTGTAATGGAATCAAACAAATTAGTTTGCTTACCCACACGTTCTTTGTCATGATTTCATTACAAGTACTAGTAGTTTAAAAAGCCATTTTCTTGTTATTTTTCATAGCTTTTAAAAGACAAAAGGTGCCCGAACAAAGAGCAGACAACAGCCGCAGGCCACCAATGGGTCTTCAACGCAGCGAGAAAATCCCGCAGCCGGAGGTGGTCCTCAGCTGGCCCCTAAATAAAATTGTGTACTATTGTGTACCAGTTCAGTGAAAATGGACGTCACACTAAGCTCCAAAACATATAAATGAACTAAAATTAAAAAACATACAAGACTAACAAAGGCCAGAGGCTCCTGACTTGGGACAGGCGCAAAAATGTGGCGGGGTTAAACATGTTTTGTGAAATCTCAACCCTCTCCCTATACCTCTAGCCAATGTAGAATAAAGAAACACATAGCAATACACACAGTAAAACTCATTTCAAAAGAAGTCCGAGTCCGATGTCCGAATAGGTAACAAAAGAAACTAAGCAAAATGACAATGATACATAAATGAACAAAGGACTACTAGCAGTTACTGACATGCCAGCTCCAGACCTAAATTAAACTGATTGAAAGATTATGTCTTCGTCATATGAAAAACCAGTACAATCCCTCCCGTAAGGGGTTTAGTATCATACCATCATAAAATATATTAGAAGAACATAACCCGTATCATGCCAATAACTGGTTTTAGAATAAATGTGTTTATTTCCGATGCAAAGACCCTATGAGTGAATCAATATTAATACCAAAATATGCAATCCTTAATGACTTGACAACAGTATCGTAACTATATCCTTTCCGAATAAGTCTGTTTAAAGGTTTGGTTAGCTTTTGAGGTGAAGCCGACATTTTTGTGCTTTGTAAAGAATATTACCATAAAATATTGAATGTGAAATACCCGAACGTATAAGATGTCTGCATGTTGATTTATATTTACGAATGATGTCCTTGTACCGATGGTAAAATTTAATAAATGTTTTGACTAGTTTGTGATATCGAAAACCCTGGTGTAATAATTTTTCAGTAATACAGAGATTTCTTTCGTTGAAATCAAATACATTGTTACATACACGAGCGAATCGAACAAGTTGAGATATATAAACACCATAAGATGGTGAAAATGGAACGTCACCATCTAAAAATGGATAATTAACAATAGGAAATGAAAAATCTCTCTTTTATCATAAATTTTGGTAATTAGCTTCCCGTTAAAGATATAGATATTAAGATCCAGGAAAAGGCAGTGTTCATTGTTAGTATTAGCTTTATTTAAAGTTAGTTCGGGAGGATAAACCTCTTTAGTGTACATACTAGAGTCGTCATTTTTGAGAGCCAATATATCATCTAAATATCTAAAAGTGTTATTAAATTTTTGAATCAGATGTTTGTCCGATGGGTCTTTGCTGATTTTAGTCATATATTGTAACTCAAAACAATATAGAAACAGGTCCGCAATAAGAGGTGCACAGTTAGTCCCCATGGGAATTCCGATAACCTGACGAAATACGGAATCACCATAGCAAACAAAAATGTTATCTAGTAAAAATTCAAGGACAGTTATAGTATCAAAGCAGGTCCAATTGACATAGTTCTTTTGTTTGTTGTTACTAAAAAATGACCTTAAAGAGTTTGAACATATATATTCGCATTCCGACTTTTTAAATAGATATAAGAAGATGTGGTATGAGTGGCAATGAGACAACTCTCCATCCAAGTCAACATTTATAAAAGTAAACCATTATAGGTCAAAGTATGGTCCTCAACACGGAGCCTTGGCTCACATCGAACAGCAAGCTATAAAGGGCCAGAAAAATTACTAGTGTTAAACCATTCAAACGGGAAAACCAACGGTATAATCTATATAAAAAACGAGAAACGAGAAACACTTATGAACCACATCAACAAACGACAACTACTGAACATCAGATTCCTGACTTATGACAGGTGCAAACAGTTCCAGCGGGTTTAAAGTCTTTAAATGCCCATTTAATCAGGTGTGTGAATTGTTTCTTAATAAGATTATGAGACAAAGTGGTATATAGGGTAGAAAAATCAAAACTTTGAACAGATTCGAAATCACCAATATAAGCATACAATTTATCAAGTACTTCCAACGAATTTTTGACACTCCAAAAGTAATTAATTCCACTATTTTCAAAGGCCTTACTTAAACAATTTATTACCAGGTTTTTTATTGTACCAAGTGTACTAGTAAGTATAATAGATAGTTTAGTAGTGGAACAATGGCTTGAAGACGAAATAAATTTATACTTGTAAGGAGTTTTGTGCAGCTTCGGAAGCCAGTTACAAGTTCTATCAAAACATTTTAAAATAAAGGAGATGTGCTAATGACACAGCCATCAAATGCCAACAGATACTAACAGACGAGGTTTTCCACAACTATACGTCGCTGTACTGATTTTAACAATGAGCAAAACATGTAATGAACACAGAAAAGAATATTCAGATAGGCACACACAACCCTTATCAAAAATAAACAAAAATAAACAAAAAGCATGTTTGTACAGAACATAACATGTAGAGGAAGTTAGGATTTGATGTTGATATCGTCATAGCAAGCTAATAATTGTACTAATAAAAAATTAAATCAATTGTAAATATCTATATTATTGTAGGTGTTCCAAAAGAGATTCGATGGGGCTTACGGATTTTTTAGAGATTGGAATGCTTATAAAATTGGTTTCGGAGACCTGAATCAGGAATTCTGGCTTGGTATGTTTTGAACACAACATTGAATTAAAAATGTATAATGTAATAAGCAATGAGTGATCGATTGATTGATTCGTTTATGATTACTGAAACGCCACTGTCTGCAAACTTTACTATACTGTAGCGGACAGTTGTTACTGATGGGAGAAACCTGGAAAATATAGCAATTCTGTCAATTGAGATTGGTATGGAACACACCTTTCCACGAACCAGGTTTGAATTCAAGCTAGACATGGATCTCAAGGTTTTGAATAATAAGACTCAAAGTCGAATTATGTTGATTTTATGTTTCACACTCATTGCATCAATAATTTGATCATCGATAGGGACAATTTGTCTTCTTGGAAGTCAAAGAGTCGCGTATTAACAAATGGACAAATATTGTGATTCACATATATGAAGAAGATATTGACATCAATCATTTTCTTCAGGTTTGAGAGAAAAATTAATATCAATTGAATGTGCTAAATTAGAACATGACTTAACGTTAACACGTTAAGCACCAAAGCTCCTTTTAAAAACAAGATTTTGTCTGATTACATTTATTAAGTAACACACCCACACCCTTTACTAGATGTTTAGAGCAAGATGATACGTATTATAAGTTATTTTAGTAAAAACTCACATCATTCTAAAACTATAACGCACAATCATGTATACATCGATATCAGGGACACATAGACAACTCATACTAAGACAATTGTAAGGTGAGACATGTTGAGTTCCGAAATTGCAAAAGCAGTTTGATATTTTAAGCCAACATCTTATTGAGATGTTGCATTTTAAATGGACCCTTAAGTAAACTGTTGACACAGATGTATGCTAGTCTTTATGTAATTTTGATAATGTAATGAACATTTGTAATTAAAATGGCAATGCTTTTAAACTATGCAAAACATTATAAGTGAATGAAACATGATCGAAGTTGCAGGGGGAAAATAACACCAATGGAAAGAAGTGCTAATACAACTGCATACAAAATATTATTGGCATACCCCTGGTCGTTTCCTTCAACTAATCTTTTCTCAAACTAAGCACAAGTTTCCAAGTCAGTAGACTATGATTGTGGAGTGGGGCTAAATTATCTCCATAGAAATGAGACACATCAAATTTTATACAACTGCATACCAAATATCAATGACCTACTACTAGCGGTTTCCCTTAAACTGACCTAATCACAAACAAATACATTTTTGACGCACGTCGGACGCAGAAAGCTTAAGTCTCGCCTTTTCGTCATCATCGAGGCTTGACAAAAATTAAAATCAGAACAAAAGAAAAAAGTCAAAAGGTGTGCAGACCCAGTGAAAAATGTAATGCATGTAAAATAAAACACACTTTTAATATGGCAGGTCAATAAACCATCTGATTACGAATTGCACAATTTCAGTAATCAGTTCTTAGGTACTTACACGATTTATAACGAAGCTTTTTTAAATCATTTGTTTATAAATTTGGAAATTATTCAGAAACTAATGTTTCAACTCCATCAAGCAAACTTGACCTTCGATGGATTTGACCATTATTGTTAGGTCCTTTTTGTCTCTTCAATTATCATGACTATTTCGATTTCCCAACATCCGTAGCTTTCAAATGTTAGGCCGTGAGCGTTTCTGTTGAATATGTAATCAGAAAAACGCATTGTATGAATGACATTTATAAAGTGTTGTTTTAATATTCTTCATAACGTTGAGTATATATGAAAAAATCAGGCGCCACTATCAACATTCATAGGGTAGCGCTTTCATTTTCACAAATACGATATTAGATTTAAACAAATACTGTGGGTATCATTTTCGTTGATTGTATTTTTGTGAAAAAATGATTTCGTGGTTTTTCAAAAGTCTGAATACGAAGCTATAGAAAATGTGTACTCCGTTAAACATTCAAGTTCGTGGTTCAACTTTACCCAATAAATCTACGAATAGTAATGAACCCAGAGTATATGTAATTTACAGATAAAAGTATAAACCGTTCCAGTCTAAAAGTGACTTTGACAGTTGATTGATTTGTACGTTAATGTAGTCAAGTTTGTAATAAGATGACTATCTTCAGCAATTGTTCAGAATAAACAGTCGCTCAACAATTAACTTATATCATGAACAAAAAGAAATAATAACGGACGAAATGAAATCAAACAAGTAGGTTTAATACAGTGGTAGTATAAATCAATATAATACCTATGAAACAAAAGAAAGGATTTCAAGATATTGTTATGATACTAGAAATATTGTTTTCACAGCCTAGCAAGAATAATGAATCGAGAGTAATGAGTTATGTTATAAGTTCTATATTAAGGATGTTCGCTCCTCTTGTTTTTGGATTTTTGCCACATATTCGGAATCCTCTGCTTTCATCCATGTAGTATCATTAAAAAAATTTCCCCGCTAACCCCTACTTTTCTTTTTATAATTTTATTACTTATAGTTTAAAAAGCCAAATTTGAAAATCCTATAAAATCCTTGTTATTTTTTCATAATTTTTTAAAGTAAAAGGGTACCAATGTTAAATGTAAGAAAGTTCTAGAGAGAATTATTTCCCGCCAAATTTTCAATGGCTTATATCTCTAAAACAAGCACACGGACCCTACATTTTTTCTGCTTTTTCAGTTCCTTTAATTATATACTATCAATTTATAATAGTCTTTTAAAAAGCTTGTTATTTTGAAACAGAGTAGCGAACATCCTTAAACGCCTCGTATCTTTGATGATTTTTATATACAATACATGATACATGTTCATATACAATAAAATAAAATTGAGAATGGAAATGGGGAATGTGTCAAAGAGACAACAACCCGACCATAGAGCAGACAACAGCCGAAGGCCACCAATGGGTCTTCAATGCAGCGAGAAATTCCCGCTCCCGGAGGCGATCTTCAGCTGGCCCCTAAACAAATATGTATACTAGATCAGTGATAATGGACGTCATACTAAACTCCAAATTATCCAAATGTATAGTTTTAAACAACACTATCAGAAACGAAACATCTTTCTAAGTATATGATAAAGTGAATATGATATTACTTTTGTTAATAAGACACTTATATAAACCTGAGATACCTGTACAATTAGATTTTTGGTACTACATTGTACAACGGACTTGAAATATGAATGGAATTGTTTGCTAAGAAAATATGTGGTAAGTCAATATTTTTGTCTTTCACTAGGTAATGACTATTTACATTACATAACGTCATCTGGTCAATACAGACTACGTGTGGAACTCGAGGCCTATGATGGCTCAACTGCATATGCTGAATATAGCACATTTAGTATCGGTGACTCGCAGTCGGATTATAATCTGAATGTCGGTGGATATTCTGGAAATGCCGGTATGTAGATGAACGTACAAAACGTTAAGTAATGAGTGACCCATTTGCAATTTCAATCCAGTTTTGCTTGATTATATTCTTTTTTATGCAATGTATATTTCTTTTTCAACTTTTCATTACAAACTGTCAAATGAAGGATTTGTTTGTTTTAAATTAACATAGAGTTATCATGAAGAACGACTTGACACTTTAAAAGTTTGACGGTCACTATAAGCAATTGGTTTATTGATACGATGTGCCAGTGTCTCAACACACTAAAGACATGATATTGCGGTCTTTATTTTTTTGATACAAGATAAATATAAATTCAGAAATAATTTTAAAAAGTAAGATTACAACTCCCTCAAGTAAAGTTAATTTGGTTGTTCTATGTATGTCACTTTTTGTAGCTCCTTCTGAACGATTTCACGTATTCATACATCAAATGTTAAAGTTTTAACCTTCCTGAAAATACATCAATAAAAGCGCGTTGTCAGTCAGCACACGATGCATTGCGTGTTACTTATATTACGACAAGCGACACCAACAACACATATTTGTCTTAAATCTTTTAGAAACAAACATGTCAACAGCAAAACAGGATAGGTATATGAATATCCCAGTGAAATTGTTCATCATTACGTACATATCAAGCAAAATCTTTTTCATTGCATGCTTACATAATAAGGTACATGGTTTATAATTCAGCATCTTTAAATTCAAAATCAAATACTAATATACTCTTCAAAAGTTGTTTTGTTCTCCAATTTTCTTTAACCTGGAACTTGTTTATAAGATTGTGATGTTATACATCGATCTCTTAATATCTACCTGCGTATTTTGAATCCAGTGAATATTTTTGAAAAAGAAAAATATTTTACATTTATTATTCTCACATTTGCATGATAAATAGTAGCAATTAATGACTTTTATATAAAATCGTTTGTTTTGTTTTGTTTTTAATCTAGGAGACAATTTTGAATATCATGACGGGATGAAGTTTTCTACTATCGACAGAGATAACGATCTTAAGGACGAAAATTGCGCCAATGTTTATGTTGGTGCATGGTGGTACGATAGTTGTTACGATTCAAATCTAAACGGGCGTTATGGAGTTAGTGATGACGCCACTGGAATTGTGTGGCGTGGATTTAAAGGCTTTTCGTCGTTGAAAGCTACTAAGATGATGATACAAAGATATAAAGATTAATATCACATGGTAGTTTTACTTTTCACTTGTTTTATTATATAACATGTATGTTAAAGGTAGTAACAAACACATTGAATAAAATTAATTTGGCTCGTTTAATTTTCATATAATTTGGACACAATATTTTCTTTGACCCTTTGACAAAAATATAAACTTCAAAAACCTTGAACCACACATGTTATCGGAAAAAATTCATTGGATATTTAGCAGTTTGACAAACACTAATTAAGATCATTGAGAGCTAAAAAGTTATTTAATAATAAAATGTGATTAAAACGTTCAGCTGATTTTTACAGAGTTTTCCCCCTGTAGTGTTATGAACCACCTTAAGCATAGATTCTGAGTGTACGTTTCTCATTAGACAACATCAATAAAACTGAAACTGTTTAACGGTATGCAGTTACAAAACGATTTCTACTTGTGAAAGGTTTGATATGTATAACCAAAGACCTTGACAATTATGTATCAATTGAACGAACAAAATATTAATGTAGAAATCATTGTGAAGTAAAAAGGATTTTTCAAAGGTATCCGAGTTTCATTTTATGACAGTATTTAACAAAAGTACAAAAACTGAAAACTTCATAAGACTTGTTAATAGTTGAACTACTTCTTAAATAAATGAAAAAAGTTATCTTAACAATTCGGTAGCATAATACTATATTGAAATGTTGTCTGATAATAGAATGAAATAGAAATGTGTTCGAAAAATAAGAGAACACTGTGTCCATGGATCATAGATGTCTCCGTTTATAAAACTGCAAGAGTCAATAAACTACTTCAATTTTCTGAGCGGGGAAATGAAACGTTCGGTCAGTACATACACCAGTTAGAGTGTAGACAAAGGAATGTATTCCTGTCAAAATGATTGATCGGACAAAACAGCAAATTTTGGCAATTTTCCATATATAAAGAAAAATAAAACAATAACGATGAAAGTGAAACCAATTTCGGTGATGGAATATAAAGTCTTCTGTTTTTTTTTTTGTTTTTTTTTTTTTGTCTTGTATACACTTTCTTCTGTGCTTTTCAATTCTTTTAGATGATTTACAGTTTTTCTTTAACATGATGAGGTTAGACTATTTTCATTTTTAATTAATTCGGCTGATCGCCTTAGAGCGAAAACAAGATTAGGTAAATTAAAAGCAGCAGTAGTTTACTTATGTTTAAATCTACGAAATTCATTAAGATGGTACATTACACTACAAGGAGATAACTCTGTAAAAATCAGCTGAACGTTTGAATCACGTTCTATTGTTAAGGAAATATTAAGCTTCTCACTGATCAAAATTAGTGTTTGTCAAACTGCTATATATCCAATGGAATTTTTCCGATAAAGTGTGTGGTTCAAGTGTTTTGAAATTTTCATATTTTTGTCAAAGGGTCAAAGTAAATATTTTGTCAAAATTTTATGAAAATTAAATGAGCCAAATTAATTTTAGTCAAGGTGTTTGGTACCACATTAAACAGATACAAATCAAAGCAGAACAAAATTAGGAACCGCAAAACTCAAAAAGTGATGAGATCCGATACGTCGGCAGAGTGAATGTCTACCGCTAGGTGAATCATTTTCTGTCAAATTTATTTGTCCTTCTTTGGAACAAAGTGTGAGATAAGTTAGAAGTAATATGTTAATTTTTTTTTTGCATCAATGGAAACAACTTTTAAATGTCCCACATAGTATTATATAGTTCCAATAGGTTTTTGGCATGTCTGTCATTCCGTTCATCCGTTCACGTAAAGTGTTATGATTAAGATAGTTTACCGTCAAGATTTGATAATAGCAATATTAAACTTAAAACACATGCTCATGATAATGTGAACTTTTCAATTTTATGATAAATGAATGGGTCTACTCCAATATCAAGCTTTACTAAACATATAAATATCGAGCCGACGGAGATGTGTGTGTTGAGCACTCAGGTAATCCCACATACAAAAACATATCATTTGACAAGGATGAGATTTTGGCGAATCATAAGTCCTTCGTGGCTTCAATGAACATTACATTGAACAACAGATCGGAGGACTTTCCTTGTTTGTATTGGATACCTAAGCTTCAAAAAAATCCGTACAAACAACGGTACATGGACGGCTCATCTGCATGTTCGACTAAAGAATTGTCCAATAGATTGGCAAAAATTATGTCCGCAGTGAAAGAGGGTCTTCAGAAATACTGTGAATATGTGTACTCGAGTTGTGGTATTGATCATATGTGAATCCTAAAAAAAATAAAGAACTTCTGGACAATTTTAAATCTCGATCTTTTTCTGAAATTAGTTCTATCAAAACCTTTGATTTTTCAATCCTGTATACCACCATTCCCCTTGTGATATTGAAAAATCGTCTACAAGAAATAATCTACAATACTTTTCAACATAAAAATGATAGCATACGATATAAATTTATTACGTTGGGATACCATACGGCATATTTTGTTAATAGTGAACAAAAAGGTAAAACATGCTACACAGAGGAACAAGTGATCAGTATGCAGAAGTTTCTTATTGACACCATATTTGTTGAAATTGGAGGTAGACTTTTTCAACAAATTGTCGGCATTCCTATTGGAACGAACTGTGCGCCTCTCTTTGTCGACCTCTTCTTATTTTCATATGAGTCGGAGTTCCTTCAGACACTTCAAAAACAAAAAGATCAAAGGAGCCCGATCATTTAATTTCACATTTAGATATATTTATGATGGTCTTTCTATTAACAATCCAAACTTTTCTGATTGGGTTCCATTAATATATCTCCCAGAACTAGAAATTAAAGAAACAACAGACACGGCTTCCTCTGCTTATTTTTAGACTTATACCTTGAATTTGACATACACGGTAATCTTAGTAACAGATTCTATGACAAACGAGACGATTTTAATTTTGAAATTATCAATTTCCCCCACCTTAGTAGTAATATACAAACTTTACTTGCATATGGGATATACATTTCCCAACTCATTCGGTATTCGAGAGCTTACAGCTGCTACTCAGACTTTGTAAAACGTCACCAGTGTCCCAGCAGAAAGTTGGTGATCAGGGGTTTGTCAAAGAACGTCTCGTACTTTTTCTAAAAAAATCATCGGAAGATACCAAGACCTTATTGACAAATATTCCGTATCAACTTCACAAATAATACACGATGGTCTTGAAGTATAGATTCTAGGTACAGAGTTGTTTGTCATCTTAATCACGTGTTATAGTATTCTTTAATTTGTCTTTTTGAATATTACTTTTATTGTTTAGTCTATTTTGGTGATATCCATTTGACGTGGCTCGGTACTTATACATCCCGTCATCGTGTTATTGTGCTATGGTTAATGTTTGTATTCTTGTCTTTCATTTGTTTTAGTGTGCTTTGTCTATATGCCTTTTTCTGTTTCTTTGTTACATATTTGTTTGTTTTTTAGTGATACAGATTATAACACAATGTTGACTGTTGTACCCCTATTTTGACATTTTTACCTATTATGTATATTTGTTTTGTTCACACATCGTTGTCAATATAATGGAATTGTATGCAACTGTCATACAAGTGAGAGGTTTAGCTAGCTATGAAACCAAGTCAGGAATATGACAGTTGTTATCCCTTCTAGATTTTTAATTTCAACTGCCTACATCTTTAAGACTACGTTTTATCGTTTTCATATTTTTCTAATGAAGATGAATTTTCATTTTTGTTAACATGTCTTTCACTTGTATTTCAAACGATGAAATTTTTATGTATTTTTGTAATGTTAACATCGAATTCAATACTATTATTTTCAAATTCATAGTTATCAAATATTATCAGTGTAATTAGCAAGATAGGTTTAATTAT